GAACAGAATCAATCTACATGGGTTTGGTTCCTATTATGTACACTCCTAAATGAAAAGCAGGGGAGACTTTTCACAGAAGATGACTGATTTCCATGTTTGAAACTAGCTAACCATGCTATACTACTTCTGTTCTAAAATGTGCCTTCAAAAACATACAGCATCACTATTTTTGCTTTAATTTCTATCTGGCATCAGAACACCACCTACATTTTATCTACTAAACAAATAGCTAAAAAATTATAATGCCATTTGAAGCCAGTCATACCTGCTTGTATTTTCTGTTGGTGGTCTGGCCTCATCAGCTTCCAGCTTTCCGTGTGACGAACAGCATAAAAAGACTGAACCAGGAAGACCCAGAGCTTATCACGCAGCGCCTGGATCTTGCACGTAAAACCCTGTGTTCAAGTAACAAATCAGCAGCTGGCGAGGGGCAGATTGTCATAGCAACCAGTCATTATTCCTTTCAGAATCTACTTACTCCCTAAGCTAGATCAATGATGTCATCACTTATATTTTATAATGGTCTGGGAGATGATGCTGGTTTTGAAGGATCAGTGCTCACCACAGTGATTTTTACAATACTTGAAAACCAAGGCATACTACAGCACTACAGAACACCACATTGCTCTTTTTTTCCCCTTCCCCTTTTCCCATTTCTTATAATTCTAAATGAACCCCATAATAGCTCTTTACTGTCAGCTGTGTCACAACAAGGTCACATCCTCTAGGGAAAAATAATGTATCTGATTAAATTTTCATTGCTTTTACCAAGATGATCTACAATAGTACCAGATTGTAGTAATTCATTTTGCATTTATTTTTCATTCTGTCATACTATTTATGAATTGTCCTCAGCATTACAGACAACCACAGCTTAAATAGCATTATTTAGATTGTGTGGATGTACATGGTATGTTACACACATGGAGACTGACACCTCCCCCAGTCCAAAAAACACACTAGATAAAGAGGCAGCCCTTGCTTCAGAGGGCAGTCTTATTAAACAAAAGCAAATGTAGCTGTGACTTTTACACTAGGGGGGCAAAGATACATAGAGAGGAGAATAAATTCTCTTCCCCTCTAAGTTTAATTTAACGAAAGATCTTGGTAAGTTCTCATCACAAATTTAAAGCGACAGCAAAAATCAACAGAGCAGTGGTGCCAGTGGGACTTAAATTCTCAGTAATACACAGTAATGTTTTTATTTCCATAGATAGGGTTTCTCTAAAGGAAAAGTGTTAATTTCCACTACACAAATGCCAACATTTGCTGTGCTTCCATCAGGACCTTGAATTTATGCAGATGCTTTTCTGTGTGACCCCAATTGCAGGGCTGAGCCATCCCAGTTCAAAGCACATCATCTGATGTGAACCATTACATGAAACAATACCAGACTAGTTTCTCAGTACAAACACAGCACATTGATAAACCTACCATCTCTTTCACATTTGTGGAGTCCAACAATGTATCCACAGCTACAAGGAGAAAGCAGCTGTTTTCATTATTAATACTTTTTTCAGTTGCATTAAAAATCAGTTCTAGAAGGTCAGGTTTGCTGCTCATTGCCTGTGCCTAGGAAAACAACAAAAGGCAGCCGTTTAAAACAAAAGAGTGTACTTCATATGCAAAAGCATGACTGAGCAGAGGCTCTGCTCTCACGCTGTGCAGGAGGTATTCCAAAGCAGAGCATCTTCCTTTGTATCCGTCCCATAACCCCACCCCTCTCCAGGCCTCTAGCAAATCATCCTGAGGCCTGGTTTTAACCTGAATTTTAGGGACAAGCACACTGTAATGAATTTACAGCCAAGTGCAACTCTAGATTCAAAGACAAAATGTTTTAACATCTCCCTGTTTATTTAATTCTCTCCATACTGAGTAAATCTTTAATGGGAGAAATGAACCAGCTGCATGGCTGGGTATGTTCCCACCAGGACCTGCAGCATTGCCACATTCCAGTACAAGTTTGAATAGGTTGGTAATACAACCATCCCTGTAAGTACAAGTTGTTCTAAGGGTCCAAAAGCTTTTTTTGAAGCTTACGTATGTACTTACCTCTCTCCAACACAGGAAGCGTCCCATAAATTAAGTGGAACATAATTGAGGCACATACCCTGAGTGCAGTATCAACCCTGCATATCAAAGTAGTAGTGTGCTTCAAAACAACACTGAAAAAAACCCCACCCCATAGCACTGCCTAGTTTTTATCTTAAATTTCCATATAATTGTACTTGAAAGCTAGAATTGAAACTATTTTCCTTATTCATCAGCCTGAAATGTACAAAGTGTGATACGGTTCCATTTATTTGGAAGCATATTATAGCTTGAGGGCACTTTTACCTGAAGCAGAGTAGAGAAGCCTTCACTTTGTACTACGTGTAGGAAGTTTGCCACAATAAATGTTACACATTCCTCCTGTAGCCTGGATGCCAAGGCTACAGCTGGCTCTGTCCACTTCACTTGGGGAAGGCTATTTATCAGGCGGTCACTCTCCATCAAAAGGAAAACAGCATTCTTGTGGCTCTTCAAATAAAACAGAAATTAGCCTGTTGCCAAGTAATCACCTAAAGAATTGCTGCTCATAAAATAGCCTCTGTTTAGTTACTGAACACACAGGATCCAATCCTGTATTAATTTTCCTTCTTGAAATAAATCTGAAGTTTGATAATTCTGACCATTTTATACCTACCTTTGAAATTAAAGCAGAAAAAGAAAAATCTGCTGCTGTTTTGCCCACCGAAGTTTTAGGCAGTGAAGTTCTCTGTAGCTTTTACTGTACTTTTTTAATCTGTGTATCATTACGTACTGCAGTCATGAGCAAAATAAAGCAAATACTAACTGCAGAAACTGAATTGCAAAAATCCTTTTAGATCACTGAAAAATGTAATAAATTCTTTAATGAAACAAGTAAGTGAAAGTTTTAGGGGAGTGTGGATGGCCTAGCACTTGGGATACATAAATACCCAAGCATTTTCATAGTTACAGATCCTTTTGCTTTATTGGAAGGAGTCAGGCATCAAATATTTGTCTTCCCACTGAACTTACTCTCTGTTGGCTAACATTTCACTAAGAAATGTAACTGTTATATTTACATTCACATTTAAAACAAGCAAACACACTTGCTAATATTTATTTCCCTGGTCTGTGCCTTTGGTTCTTTCACATACTGCATCAGCACAGCACCTGAAGGTAGCTTCTACTGGCTAACACATCACCTGAAGAGAACTCGTAATGTTCTGTTATCCACGGCAGAATTAGCCATTAGAAGGGCTGTACTCAACATGGCATAGCAGGTCACTGATAAGTGATGCAGTAAGATCAGCAACACTGGAGAAAGCAACAGTTCAGATAAACATTTGACACAAAGACACCTCCTGTAAATTCAGATTATAATCCTGGTTGTCCCGTGCAAAGTAGAAAGCAGGGAGGATTTTCTTTATGTGTGTTATCATTAAAACATAAAATCTGGCCAACCACTGTTCAACTGTATTTTACTATTTTACTCATTTGTGGGCAAACCCAGTTTGCTTGTCTGCATATAAGGTGGATTAACTATATGCTTATGGTTTAATCTTGTTCCCACTGGACTCAATTACAAGCTTTTTGAATGGTCCAGAATTCAGCCCCTGCTCACAAGGCAATAAGCATTTACTCCCATTAGGCCCTTCCAGGGAAATATAAAATGCCTTCATTGACTTCTAATTAAATCAGCATGTTGTAGGAGTGGCTCTAACTGAATTTTAATTCTCTTGTTGTATTTTTCCCAACCATTCTAAAGCAGAGTCCACGTTACTTAGCTAAAAAACATAAAAGTAATTTTCTTGCATGTAGAGACACCAGGGGTAAGAAGCTGAACAGTGTTTTAAACTGCACTCCCATTTTAATATTTCTGTGTTCATCATTGGGGTTTCCCAGAGACTTTCTGATCAGTGGTCTCGTTTCCTTTGCACCTTTTCTTTCTCCAGAGGGCTGCCCCACATTAACATGGTTTTACTTTTCCGAGACTGGTAAATGAAGGAATCAGTAGAGTCATACTGTTTAACTGGGTGTAACTGTTAAAAAGTTTTACAGCAGAGAACTGTAGCAGCAAAGGGGATCATAAAACATACAGTAGTCCCTTGAAAATTCATGTCAGACCTTTTCTTCTTTCTCCCTCAAGCGTCCTGAAGCATTTTTGCAGATCGTGCATAACTTCACTGGGAATTTCACAAGTTTTTGGACTGGCTGTCTTAAGAGCTGAGTTAAATGATCACTCACCACAACTGTTCTGTAGGCAGAAGAGGCTTATGCTTTATCTCTTAATTTTGCAATTCTAAGAGCTTTCTAGGCTTCAGTCCATAAAATACCAATGAATCTTCCAAAGACACACCAACACAGATTTGTAAATAACTAAACTAGGAACCAAAACACCACTTGAGTCCAGACTGCAAAAATCTTCCAGAGAAGCTGAGCAACACTAAGTACCATGACAGTTCTGCAATTACTGGTAGCTTTAAGATAGCTCATATATTTCAACACAAATTAAAACCACACCATCTTCATATATTATAACAGGCACAGAGGGGAAGGAAGGCATGATGTGGCTTAGGTTTACCTTTAAGCTGTCCTGATAATGTTACACAAGGGTGCCTGGGGAGGAGCTTAGAACTGCGTCTGCATATACTCTTGGCTACGATACCTGCTTGAGCTAGTTTGGAGGTTGATAATGGTGTAACTGTATATAGCTGTAGATTAGAATGAATTGATCTATAATCCTGAAAACATTACTTAAAACTTCTTAAGCATTTATACAACATACGACATACAAGGCTATGTATATATTCTAGGAATAACCATGTACACTGATCTAATGTAATGGCAGAACACCTCATCTTAAAAGCTATAGCTACTATTTTTATTCTGTTAGAAATTACTCTCTCTAGCAGAAGGACTGTTTGGGTTTTCTAACTGGATACTCTCAAACTTCTCAAACAGCCGTTTAGCTTCGTAATCTCGTTTTTCAGGCTTCCACCTCAATATGCAGTAGCAGCCACTACTCACAGCTGATCTGCAGGCCTCAGCACGTGATGGGGTAAGTACTCCCTCAAAATAAAAACTCAGGGGCTGAGAAAAACCCACCACAGGAAGCCTTCACAGCCCTTTCAGTGAAGGGCATTTCTTGGCCAGACCCATTTAAGAGCACATCTGTTGAAGTTGGGGTATGTTTGGCAGTGTGGGTAGCCATACCCGAGCTATTTAGCTTTGATAACAACAAGAGATGTGGGGACAAGGATTTTGGCATGGAATGAAGCATCACATACTTAGATGGCTGGTGAGTGCTAGAACCAGAATCATCCTATGAATGCTACCTGAGTGAGTTAAACTTCGTGTACACTAGTCCACATTACAGCCACATATACAGTCATGCTTGGCAGCAGCTGTGCAGATCTACCTTTAGCTCTACATTTTCTTCATATCTCTGTTCCAGTTCAATGCATTTACAGGCTAATTACTGAACCAAATTCCTGTTATCAAGTCTAGATCAAATCAGTTACTTTTAAATCAGCTTTGAGCATTGTTTTATACAGAAACACAATTGGAAAGTACTTTGATCAGATCTAAATTGGAACAGTGTACGTATGTGCCACAAAAAATGAATGCGGAGCTTTGAGGGGACCAGTTCCATGCTGTTATCAGAGAAGCAGAAGTTACGTATGCTATATGCTATACTGTTACTTTATTTTTGAAGTCAGCTTGCCTGTAAAGAAATGGTTTGTCATCAATCACAGCCAGCAATCATCTGAAGTCTGGGAAAAAAAAAACAATTTTTTCCAAAGCACAGTATAGGCAAACGGGGAAGGACTCTCACAAATGATGTATGCCACCACCTAACATTGACGGAGCAATTTCCTGTTTCTTAGTATCTGAACATGTAATGCTGTGCTATGATGTCACAGCTGTGTTTCATAAACTTGACTTGTATTATTATGCTGGACTTGGATGTGATTATCATTAGACTCTGTCCCATAAAGCATAACAACGACACCTGCACATCAAAATCTGGTTTTAAATTGTTATTTTAATGGGAAATTTACATAGGATAAGTGTTCTACAGATTCAAACTTCTATATTTCTTATCTTTAATAAATTACATTGCTGTATTTTTATACAAAGCACACTATATACCACTTACCAAAGAGTTAATCAACATAACAAGGCAGTTGTTCTGAAGTTCAGTAGGTAAGCTGGCAAAGCTTCTCTCTGACAAACATTTTGCAAAATGTTTTCCTACCCATCTGTTGAAAAGAGAACCTTCCTTAGTTAAAGAAGGAAAAATGTTCTGTCTTCATTTGTTAGCATAAGCGATACCTCTAAGTACTGTGAGGAAAAAGATGTTTAAAATGTGAACATTTTTGTACACTAAAATAAACCCAGTCTCACAAAATAAAATACTTTGAACAGAAAGCAGATAAATGAAAAACATAAACCATAATTTATTGTATTTTACTTACTTCATGCAAGCAGCATATAGGTTTTCCACTCCCAGCAAGTGAGCAATAGCCATACATTCTAGTACAGGTTGGTGTTTTCCAGGAACAGGCTAGAGTTGTCAGCAAATTATCATCATTATTGTATATTCTGACTTACACTAACTGTACAGAAGCACAAAATCTTCAGACAGAAGTAGTGTTAGCTACCATGGTATTTAAGTTTGTTTGCCTTTATGCAGAACAGGGAATTCATCTGCTTTCACGTGTCAATAAAGTAGCATGCAGCCTAGTGAGCCCAATGCATGAAAATGCTCAAATCTAAGCAGTTGTTTTAACTAGTTCTAATTGAACACAAATGTTTTCTAAATATATGAAATCTGACTTGCAAGTATTTCCAAATTCCTGTTAAGAACAATTGCATATATAATGGAATGTATTAAATGATACTCCATGTAACTTAATATATTGAATTAATCATGTGGAATAATTGCTTTTCATCACTTGTGGTTTTAAAGTTTCTATAAATAGGTGGATGATACCACAGGCCTTACTCCCATCATCAATCCCAGTGAATTTAGCAGATTTACACACAAGAATAGGGCCTGTTGACTTCAGCTAACACCTTGACCACACATTTGATAAGTATTTTGTCAATATGATGTGTAACTAATAGAATAAAAATCCTTCCTGGTCTTTACAGTTCACAAGATAGCATGAGAACTGACATACCTTTTGGAAGAAATTGCAGTAATCTCGTTTCAAAATGTAGATGGCTACTTCTTTCAACCCATCGAGGCCATACATATCTGCAATGCTCAGCATGCGACTAAAGAGGAAGCAGTAGCAAGAGGAATCAAAACTCATTTTGACATAGGCATTCTGCTTGCAAGACAGTTTACATGCTAATTTCACCTCCTTGTTCAGTCATAATTTACCGCAGAAACAGACTGATAAGAAAGCGTGAAACTTGCCAAAGGATAGTCTTTGAACAGAAACAGGCATTGACCTAATCATAATCTCTCAACCACCAGCTTTGGTGTACATAAAAGTAAGCCTCAGCCACTGGCTGAGAAACTGCTTCTCAGTTTCTCTATTTTATGGCAGCAAGTGAAAAGGGTATTTGTCCCAGCAGAGTTTTGGCACTTTGTAGGTTTTTTCCAAAGATTACATAAAATGTTACTGACTGCATCACACCTGAGAATTATGTCCCTTCCAAATACTAAAAAGCAGCAAAATATTATTTGATATAACAATCAATACCATCATTTACTTTCTGTAGTAACTCATTACATAAACACTGACATTTGGACATACTATAAACAATTCCATATTTTTATTTTAGATAGATAATACCAACATTTACCTTGGTTGCTATATATAATCTTTGAGGGATCTAAGACTACTTAGCCTATGCATCAGTTCAAATGAGTATTTAAAAACAAATTCCAGATATTAACTGCTAAATATTATGACATATAGTATATATTATTCTGGAAACTAAAAAGAAGGTACATGCCAATTGGGACCTATTTTGGTATAAAGCACTCTCCTGTTTTTCACTGTCCTCATGTAACATGTCCTCATTCCAAAAATGGCTGGCACACCTTTTCCAGTAGCTGACAAATAAGCAAGGTTCCTTCAGCAGCTTTATTTTTTTAATTTCCTCAAGTATCTTTAGGTGTAACGATCATATCTGACATCTTTGTCTTACACTACTTGAAGAACTGTCCTTTTGACTTTGAACTGAGAAAATACAGAATAAGCAAAAACTGCAGTTGGAAAAAGAGGATAAAAGTTGACATATACCCAACATCAACTTTGTCTGGGAAGTCCAGAATACCTCCATATATAAAATGCAAGACGACACTCATTTCTACATGGCTTATGCTGCAAAAGAGAGAAAAAAGGCAAATAAAGACATAAAGTCCAGAATAAAACACACCACATTTCTTAGCCAAAAGTGGTTGATCAGAAGGTTGGTACATCATCCAGCTGTTCTGTGAATGGAAGTTAAATGATCTGATAAAATCAAAGGTATTTTAAACATTACTGCAATGTAAAAAGATCTAAATGGACTATATTTGGGGTGAATTTTGCTACTCAGTAGTCTTGCTGAAACTCTAATACTTTGAAAACAAGGCATAAGCAGACTAATGCTGGTATCTAGAGTATTTACACTGATAGTATGAAGAAAGTGTTTTTTTCATCATCTCCAACCTCTTTACTAGTAATAAGTCAATTAACTAAGCAACCCTTTACTTAAAAATCAGCTTATAAACATTAATTCTTGATTTTATGATATATTTAAGCTTTTCCTACAATTAAAATATATTTAATACTTTTATTACCATGTTAAGTAGGAATGTTGCATCTCAGAATATTTTTAAAAAGTCTGTATGCCGAGATTCAGATTAAGAAATACAGAATTCCTGCACAGAGCACTGTTTTCATCCTTGCACCAGGCACAGAATGTCTGTTTAAGTGCTGGACACAACTTCCTGAACAATACTACTAATGTATGTACATCTTCATATGCAATCTTTAGAACCCCAAGTAATGTATACGTTAGAATAAATGGAATATAGTCATGCAGATTGAGCCAAGACCGTTTAAAACATTAAGACGTATTTAAGCAACAGACACCAATAACTACAAACAAACAGAGGAACAGACAAAAAACCCTCCTTCCACATGCTAAGAAGCAAAATCAGAGCACAGTTTTGTCTATATTAGTACACAATAGCTGTAAAATCAGCAAGGAGTTTCCCCACAGTCTTGACAGGTGTTATATTATGCAGAATTGTCATTATTTCAGAGGAAGCCATATGTACCTTACTGATGAGTGTTTAAACAGACAGCATGGGAATCTGCACCAAACAGAAAACTGAACTAGAAAAAGTAAAATTATGGATATGATCCTTAGTAACAAATTATGAGACACTGGCATGGGAATATACTCGTATAAAGATTAACTCTTCTCAGGAGAAAGTGTCGACTGAAAGGTAAGGATGAAATTTTCTTAGCCATGAAGAAATCAATTAGAAGGACAGAAGTGTAAATATAAGAATAATTGTTGACTATCAGCTTCTCAACCATACTATGTATAGCATAAAAGCTAAGGAGTCAAAAGCATATTGTTTTATGAGGATTTGGATGTTATAACTAAATGAACAGATAATTTCCTGAGTTTGCAGCAATATTACTACACTGACAGAAAACTAAAACAGTAACACAAGAAAGTATTACTTGGCCAAGCAATTTTATATTAGTTCTGAGCAGTTCTGTCTTGTACCACTGTAAGGTACACAGTTCTTCCTGGAGAAAGCCGAGTCGGTCAAAATCCTGTCTAAACAAAAAGCTAACAAGTATCAGTATTAGTTTGCTTTTAAGGAAAATTTAATCTATTTAAATTGATTTTTCTGATACTGAAAAGAACTAACCTGGCAGTCCCCAGTTTATCTATGAAGTTTTAAGTATTCTTCCTACACTCACAGCTCCATTATTTTCAGCTCTCACACAGAAAGCTATTGTGAAAAAGGATACTGGTCAAAATTGTATTACTGCATGATGCTGAGACCATTATTAAACACTACTTAAGACA